GTGAAGATTTGTAAGATGCGGTCTCTGCACTTAAGAGTGTATCCACGGGACATGAACAACACCTGCAAGACAAAGCCCTCCACCCCGACCCCCTGCCCTCAAAAAAGGTGTAAGAAACACCTTATTTGGGTGGTTTGGGAAAGTGTGTCAACCATCCCCTCAGGGAACCTACTGATCAGAGTGAGCATGAGCGTGATCTGTTCCCTCGGCAGTTCTGCCTGCTTAGCTGCTTCTCCTCATCACTTCACCTGGGCAGATGTTGATCACAGTGTTTAAAATACTTTTATTTTTTGCTGTGTTACAGTAGCACAAGCCAGTTACTTAATATGATGCTAACAGAAGAACAGTAGGCTGGAGGACAGATTGCGTTTGTTGGACTCTAATAGTTGCCAAACCAGTACAATGTCTTTTACAGGTGCTTCAAGATTTTTAAGGGTAATTCTGATAATATTTTATGCTTATGTTGCTTGTTGACTTTAAAACTAACCTAAGAAGACGTAACTTCATTTATTTGATAAGTGCCAAGTTAGGATATAGATAGTATGAACCATAGGCATTTCAAAAAAAAAAAAAAGAAAGAATTTCCAGGTCAGGACATCAAAGCAAAAAAGAAGATGGACAACTTCAATGACCGGTTTTTCAAAATCCTACCAAACAAGAGCCAGGCTGTGATCATGGCCACAGAGGCAGTGAGGGGGAAAACGCAGTAACATGGTTGTCCTGTGTATTATTCCTGCCCTGATAACCCCAGAACTGCGTCGGCAGGCAGAAGTGGAGATCCGAGCAGCTCTGGACCAGAATTATGGCAGGTGTCAGGGACAACAGGTGGAGCATCTAATTGGAGACCCTTCACATAAAGATAGGACCCCAAAGGGCTGTATTCTCCATGTAAAGGTCAACCAGAAATAAACCCTCCCCCTTCCCACTTTGCCTCTACGCCCTCAGGCACTGAAAGAAAATTGCCTATCTTGAGCCTTGGTGCTGAGTGAGATGGAGTAGAGGACTCTCCCCTGATGATTTATAACCACAAACTAGCCCTTGTGTAAGCTTGGGCGTGAATTCATATTCCCTAGATACCCTGAAAAACTTCAAACTGAGAATTTAATCTAAGGTGATCCTAAGCTAATAGGATGGCCCCAGGCATCTAGTAGAATCAAATGCATTTTTTCTGGAAGGATCTTCCTTCAACTCAAATCTCAGTTCTTACAGGTGAAGGTCTAAGAACTGCAAGATCACAGTTTAAAATCTCAAAACAAATAAGGAAACATGGCACCATAAGCAAAAGTCAGCAAAATAACAGATAACAATATTAGACCCACAAAGACTAAGATACTGATATTACCAGACATACAATAAAAAATAAATTTTCTCATGTGTTTAAAGAAATTAAAGGAGGGAGTAAAAGTGTGAGTAAAAGTATGAGTAAAAGATTAAAATTATGACTAAGCAGATTTGGAAAAGAACTATGTAATACTTTAGAATTGCAAAGATAGAGTAATTACAGTTTTCAAATCAATGAGTGGGCTTAACTGCAGGTTAGACCCAGCTGAAAAGATATTTAATGAACTCAAAGATATATTTAAAAAAATTACGTGAACTGCAGGACAGAAAGAAAAAGTGATGAAAAACACAGTGAGAAGGCCTGATAGATCTCTAGATAATTGGAGTTCTGGAAAGAAAAAAAAAAAAAAACGAGACAGGGACAATATTTAAAGGGATAATGACTAAAAATATCCACAACTAATGGAAGATACAACTGGATATAGTGAATCATAATAAATCCACATCTAGACACACCATACTGAAACTTTGGGATACTAAAGACAAAAGATGTTAAATTTAAGCACCTCGAGGCAAAAGAAGGCTTTCCAAAGGAATGCCAGTGATACAACGTACTCCTCAACAGCAATAGTGGAAGCCAAACTGTAGTGTGATGTTGGCATTGATGAGAAAAAATAAGTACCCTGCCAGAAATGTATTTTAAGCAAAAATATCTTTCAAGGATGAGGATGAAATAAAGACATTTCCAACATGTGAAACCCAGATGAACTTGGCATCGGTAAACCTTCACCAAAGGAAAGATTGTAAAGAATATATTTCAAACAGAGGAAGGTGATACCAGAAAAAGGTCTGAGATGCAAAAACTGACTTATGAGGAAAGAATGTGTAAAAACATGGGCAAATAAAAGCATAATAATCAATAAAGTAATAATGTTCTTGTGAGGATAAAAAGGAGGGGGATAAAAGTATCCAACACCAATATCATGTTAAGACAGAGGGTGTGAAAAGAAAAAAGACAGAGGATATGATCAGAGTTAAATTGTCTAACTTGATCTTATAGAGTAAAAAGGTAAAGATAATGATTAATTTCAGCTTTACATAGTCAGTATGTACAAATGCAAACATAGAGAAACTACTAAAAGAATAGAAATTATAAAACTTTAAGGAGGAAAAGAAAACACAGAAGAGTATGGACAAATAGAAAGCACAACTTAAGGGGCACCTGGGTGGCTCAGGCAGTTAAGTGCCCGACTTTTGGTTTCAGCCCAGGTAATGATCTCATTAGTCCTGAGATCGAGCCCCACGTCGGGCTCCATGCTCAGCAGGGAGTTGCTTGAAGATTCTCTCCCTCTGCCGCGCTAATATAAATCTTTAAAGAAGAACACAACTGAAGACCGTAGAAATAAATATAAAAATATTTCTAATCACAAAAATGTGAGTGGACTAATGTTCCAGTTAAAGTGAAAGATTGATTCACTCAACAAATATTTACTGAGCATCTACGCTAGGTACATAGCACAGAGCAGGGAATAAAATAGTCCCAAATCCTTAGAGATATAGACAACAAACCATATTAGTAACACAGTACATTAGATAATAGTGAGTGTTCTAGAGAAAAAAATAAAACCGTAATAGATAGACAATGGGGAGAGTGACTAAACTTAAAAAAAATAATAAAATAGTTTGCAAGCGTATATATTTTTTTAAATGGTGCAACTGCTTTGGAAACGGTTTAGCAGTTTCTCAAACCTTTAAACATAGGGTTACCGTATGTCCCAGCAGTATATGCCCAACAGAAATGAAAACGTATGTCCAGACAAAACCTTGCACATGGATGTTTATAGCAGCATGATTACTAATATCCAGGAGGCGGAACAACCCCAGTAGCCATCAACTGATGAGTGAATAAATACACACAATGGAGTATTATTCAGCCATGAAAAGGCAGAGTACTGTTCCATGCTACAACACAGATGACCCTTGAAAACATTATGCCAAGTGAAAGAAGCCAGACACAAAAGACCACATACTGGATGATTCCACTCATGAAATGTCTAGAATAGGCAAATCTATAGAGACAGAAAATAGATTAGTGGTTGCCTAGGGCTGGATGACAAGATGGGGGGGGGGGTGATGGCTAAGAGGTGTAGGGTTTCATCTTCTTTCAATGAAAATGTTTTAGAATTGGGCGCCTGGGTGGCTCAGTTGGTTGAGCGACTGCCTTCGGCTCAGGTCATGATCCTGGAGTCCCGGGATC